TTTAGATTCATTTATCATTTAAATATTTCTTGTATTTTTCCCATATATTGCTGATACTCTGTACGGCGAGATATAAATCAGTATCGAACGATTCAAAAGGCTTTGCGTTTTCTTAAAAATTAATTTTTTTTCGAAAAAGTGAAGGTACCTGAATACGTTGGATAYTTACTTAATATTAAGTATATTAACRCTTTGCTCTTTAGTAATTCCTACTGAATACTTCATTTGTTATATGTGTATAGTAAATACAAAGTATAGTAAAGATAAAAGATAAAAGTGGTCGAGTAAAAAAGTAAGACCATAAGATGAATTACAAAGTTTCTGCTTTTATTTGATATTATTTAATTTTTTAAATGCAAAGTGTTAATAATAGGTTCATCGATTAGATCAAATATCTGTTGGGGCATTCGAGTAAATGTAAAAAAAAAGCCTCACAGCAGAGTTTAGGACATGAAGAAAGAAGAGGCATTATGCCGAAGAGGCTAAGGCCGAAGAGGCCCCCACAAATTTGTGGTATCAAGTGGGCAACTACACAGACTATTGAGTTATTTTCAAAGGTTCAACAGCAAGTTTGAACTTTTCGAAAATAGCTCTCTAGTCATCTTTTATATTTTATTATATTACTTTTTTGCTCGTCATTAATTTGTAGTTTTAATCGGAGATGATGGACCATTCCATCTCCTTGAGACACCAAATTCGTGTCTTAATCGTCAAAATGATGCATATGTTTTAGTTAGAGTAAAAATATTAAAATTTTCGTAATATTAAATTTTGAAGCTTTAATAACGTTCGCTAAATATTACAATAATTTCTCTTTTCTTGTTTCGTCTTTAAAATTTTTTATTGGGATCGTATTTTATTAAACTTGCAATTTGTCTTTTCTGTATAATGCAGCTTAAAAGTCTTTCATATAATAATTATTAGATATTATTTCTTTTTAGTAACTTAATATTTGTACTTTTTCTATTTTATATATATATATTTTATGTAAATGTAAAATCACGCGTTTTTAAATTTAATTTTATTGCAACAGTAAATAGAGATTTGATCAAAATAAATAGAGAATTTAATTGAAAAGTGCATCTGCGAATTGGATGATTTATATATCAGGCTATTCTATCACTTGATTGTATGATTAATATAGTTTTCTTTTTGTTACAGGTGATCATCATTTGATTTATCATTTACTCGTTTTGATTTTCTTCTACTTTTTCAAATATATATATGTATAAAAAACGCATTTCTGAAGGCACACACGTATTTAGACACACTAAATTAAATATAATTATTTTAAATTTTCTTACAATATAACTGTACTATGTATACTATCAAAGAATATTGTATTCTATTTTATTATTATACCGTCATCGCGTTAAGTACCTACTATCGTCCACTGGTGGTCCCAGTAGGGACTAAGATGAAACTGGGTAGATAATAAAGGGGACTTGTGTGCTGCTATTCACTTCTTTAATCTTTGCTCTTTACCAAAAATTACTTTTACCATCTAAGCTTCCTGTGCAATTTTACTGACAGTATCCGTTCGATGTATGTTTATATTTATTTAACTCCATATTCGGGTATGTATTGTAAAATACGATCTATGTGAAATAATATTTCCTACAAAAGCAAAATGCTTTTCTCATTCATCTAAAAACATAAGAAAAAAATTTCAGAAAAATAAAAATGGAAAAAACTGGGGGCGATGTAATACGGTATTATTTTACAATAGGGTGTTAGATTTTGGCAAAAGATGCAGCACAAATGTCTAAACTTTATTAAAACCAACAACAGTAACAATAGCAACAATAACAGCATCAGCAGCAACAACAACAACGAGAACAACAAGAAAATCGTTTCTATCTGAATCAATTCGTAGAGTTGCATGTATATATTTTTATTTTTATTTTAATTTTCTTTTTCTTTTTTTTGTTTTATTGAAAAATTCAGAGGGAACACACACCTTTCGCCGCCTTTCGTGAATCCACGACATCACGGTAATCGAGTTTACACATTCGCATGGTAACCTTTATCGCATGCCGAACGAATATTATCCTGGAGACCTACGACATTAGTAAGACGAAAATACAAATGACGATGGCACAACCCCAGGGTAAAAAAACACATGACCCACCATAAATATGTGATACCATATAAATGCACTTTGATGAGATCGTTCTCACGACGCTGCTACGATTGCTAAAAGCAGTGCAAGGAAGCAAGCGAGTAAAACCATGGAATATTCTGTTATAGTTATAGTAATGATGTTAGTTACATAAGGAACACGTATTTCGATCGGTCGTGCGAAATAATTCTCGTACGTTTTTAAATCAATCTCCCATACATTCTTCTCACCTTCGCGAACTGCAATAGGCCTGCTGTCATCTTCCGTTTCTATTGGCTCCAACATCTTACATTCCTGTTCAACATTTTTCTTTGCTCCTCCTCCTCCTTCTCCTTGTTCGATATTTGACTCAAATATAACATTTTTCTTCTCTACGATAAATAATTTAAGTTTATCTTTCTCCTCCTTCTTCTCTTCTTCTTTCTCTTTCTCTTTCTCTTTCTCTTTCTCCTCTTCTTCCTCCTCCCCTTTCTCTTCCTTCTCCTGTTCATTTTTGTTGTTAATTTCGTCTTCGACGTCGATAGCCATGCAACCTTCACCTAGTCTCGCAAGTTGAATCTCCAATTCTTTCATTTCTTGCACGCTACCATTTAAACTAGCTGCAGCTATTTGTAGATCTTCCACGGCTCTGTTAAGATCGATTTCAATTTCCGATGGATATCTAACGTTATTTTTTTTAAGATTAGGAACATCAAGTTTTTCTTTAGATACGTCGGATGCTACACTTATTGTAACAAGATCTTCGTTTTTTGAGGACGTTGACATTTCATCCTTTGTCTTTTCATCTCCCTCTACTAATAATGATGACGAACGCGTGCTAGTTTCACGTGTGTTATCGCTGTCGGTTCTAAGATGGCTCGATGAATCATCTCCAGGAACAACGTCAAGGCCATCCCATATGTGGTCAGCAACGCTGCTAAAAGCCTCTGCAATCATTTTTACATTCTCATTCGCCATACGAAGATAATAATCGAGTTTATCATCTTCAATTTCAAAAATATTTCTTTCATCCAACTTTGAGTCAATGCATTCCTCTGTTTCATTTGTCTCCTTTCTCTTAAAATCATTGGACCGTTCTTGAAGTGTATTATCAAGAAGTTCATTACGTAATTCTGTAATTAAAGGCTCTATCTCAACTTTATTTTCACGAATTGAGTTTTTGGCTTCAATTATTACTTCATCCTGCTCGTTGGTTTTTATATCTGGTTCATCTGTTCCTTTGATTATATTTACTAAGTCTTGACACAAGCGACTATATGCAGTAAAATCTGAATCTGTATTATCTTTACCAGTTAAGGAATCATTACGAGTGGGTTTCCAAGAATCTTGATTAATGTCAACAGATGAAGTCCGCCTGGTAGCACTAAAAAAAGTTGACGTTGGCGTATCTTCTCGATTGTTTGAGTTTTTATCCGACCATTGCATCGTCGTTGACGGCGAGACATAAACTCGTAGCATTTTTCTACAAGGACCAGAATCATGATGATTTCCATTTATGTCAAAATTATTTTTTGTATATTTTTCACCATACCACTTCGTATTACCTTGATCGGATAATTCGCCGTCGCTGACAACACGTCTAAAATAATCTAATTTTTCTATGGACTTACGATTACTATCTATATTCTCGACATCATCTTTAATCTCACAAAGGCTTGGTTGTCTGTGCAAATGTATACGCTCTTGATTTATTAGCCCATAAAGATTGGCAGACAGAGATCTAACGGCTCTCTTTTTTTTAGTAGGAAATTCATTGAAACTTTCTATTAGATTATCTACGTTATTCTTTGTTGGTGTTGTTGTGGAATCCTTTCTAAGTGTCCTGAAAGCTAAATCATCCGTAACGACATCAGGTTCACATTGTGGTATATATAGCGAACGAGGTGGATTAGATTTATTTGGCACTGTGTGCAGATAGTCGCTCTCTGTAGCAGTGGTCACTGGTCCAAGTGGTATACCAAAAGGTGGTTGAGGTTCAATAACTTTAAGAGTATTATTGGCATGATGTATACTACGAAAAACAACATCATCTTTCGTTACATCCGGCTCATCACGACGTGTTATGCCAATAGGTGTTTTTGTTTCATCAAACACATTGTCTCTACGTGAAAGCACAGGTGAAGCGATAAGGTAACTGATGTTTGAAAGTGATGATTGTCCAATAATATCTGACAAAAAAGTTGGTCGTTCAACAGGATGCATTCTTCTATAGGCCATATCGTCTTTCGATCTATCTGGTGAATCACAACTATCAGGTTTCACTAGTTTATCTTCAGGTTGTCCATGTCTAAGACTAAATTCTTCCATGCTTCTTCTTTCAGCACGATCTAACAAATCCTCATCTCCAAGTCGTAAACTATTGTATATTGCTTCCAACTCGAAAATAGCTTCCTCAAGATTCTTCGATGATTGTTTTCTCTCTAAAGCTGCCTCCTCATCCATCTTCTTTGTCTTTTTGTTCTTTTCTTCAATATTCATTTCATTCCCATCATTATTTGTAAGATACGAACGTTCGTTAGAGGATCGAGTATTACGTGCCGAGATTCGTCCATATATACCATTTTGTTCACAGTTCATTGATAATTGAATCTGTTTTACACTCTGATCGTATTCATTAACGTTCAAACTAAGTTGATTATTACGATTGTTCTTTCTTCTACACTTTGAAGCCTCAAGCTCATCCATTTGAAGAGATCGACACGGATTATGTTCAATCTCATTCGAACGATTACACATCGACGTATATTTATTATTTACATATTCTCGTGGAAAAATATTGATCTTATCGAATTCTGAAAAAAATATATTTTGTGAATCATGTTGTGTAATATTGTTAATACATGTAATTTCTTCGCTTGAACTATATGCTCGTTTACCATCAATACAATCGAATTTTGGATCCATATATGTATTTGCATATCCATTAAAAAGTCTTTTTTTTTGACTTCTACCATTAAAAGGAAAAGAATGGCACGCATAAGTAGGAACACGACGAGGATCACGTGGTGGAGGATCTGGTGGATTAGATGATCTTGGCTTAGATCTTTGTTCCATTATGTGATCTTTTTGACGATCAATATCCCTCACCGATGACAGTGTAAAACAATTGTTTGATTCCTGTTCCACCCAACGACCAACAGCAGTGTTCTTCTCATAAAAACTATTTTGATTCATATCTGTAAAATGTTTGTAAGTAAAAGAATATTCATTTTTATTACTGTACGACCAATTTTTATAAGAACCTATTGTACCTGTATTGATATTTGGAGAGCTTAACACAACCGACTTGTGTATTGGAACTTGATCATTAGATTGCATCATGGTTGTTGATTGTCTTGAATGTTTTATTTGACGAGACATATCATTCGAATTAACGATAACAATATGTTGTCCTTCATTAAAACATTCAGAACTGTCTCGCTTACAATTTATTTGATTGCCATCATCTATGCTTGTTTCTTCTTTAAACAAACGTTTGATATATCGTTCTGTTCTAGCAGCTCGAGTACGTCTGTTATAAGAATTAGTTTTACAAATATTTTGCGAATGATGATCCTCTAATTGAGATTTAGTCAATGAATTATTAGAAACACGTGAATCTTCATCAGAACTACTGTTGGGACACATCTGATCTCTTTTAGCTTCTACTCGTGCTTTCATTTTATTTTTTCTTATTTTCCTTCCCATACCTTCCAAAGAACCATCGCTACTACGTGAATGTACAGAATCTACGTGTACGTTAAGAGATTCCATTGATTTTTCTATATTAGTTTCAGTTAATAAATTATTAGACTTGGTCTGACGTTCACTATTAGTTTTGACTGGATGAAGTACTATATTGTCCAATTGCTTATTGATTTTGGGAGGTTTCCTTGGTTCCCTTTTACAATAAACTATTTCTTCTTCGTTAGAAGAGCTGTCATCATCTCGCATAGAAGATATACGTTTGAATATTCCTCCGATAGACCACTTCTTTTCTTTTTTCTTATAAGACGTAGAAGTTATAGCATTACAAACTGGCAGACGACGGGTTGGCGGTAAAAGACCATCCATTCTAAGAATATCTTTTCCTCTTATTCTTCTTTTCTCCGTAAAGCAACTATTAGGTTCCATTTTATATTATTACACCTGAAATAAATATAAATTATTTTTAATTTTAAACACAAAAGAGAAAATCATGCATATAAGAAAATAAACCTGCATTACACAATATTAACCTTTTACAACTATAGATCTCGAAAGAATTTTACTAAAGTTAAATATCGAGCGTTCTGCACAGTTGTCAGAGAATAGTAAATAATCTTTGAAGGCCATGTACAATCATTGGTGGTTAGTAACGAATCGACACGTAAACTGAAGAAAGAAAAAACTATAGAAAGAAATAACTGTAATGGACACTGCATTATCGATAATGAACACCAACTCACCTTTTACTTAATGAAACATTTTTATTTAAATTTTTCTTATATTATTTTATATTTTATCTCTCTCTCTCTCTTTTATATTTTACATACACACACAAATTCTCAAATCATTTTGTAATACAAGAAACGTTTTATTTTCGTATCGCACTGTACATTTGGTAAATCAAAACTTTTCTTAAATATTAATTTCAACGATAATATACGACAGATCTTAATGAAATTGGAATGATCTTAAGATTGTTATATTCTGTCATTTCTCACAAAAAGACGATTAAATTTATTTGACACTTATTATTTGACACTAATTTAAAAATAAGTTAATTATAAATACGTAATGAAAATCTGTATCAAGCAAAGTTGTCTAACACGACGACCATAAAAAGTACCCTCAAGTCGACTCTATTCGCTAATTCAGAAACAGGAGGAGGGAGTTCCTTATCAAGACCCCACCCATAACAATTCTTTTTTCCTAACCTCTCACGCAGAATCACGCGTGGGTGCTTATACGTCATTGAAACTTAAAACGCATCTTTCTTAGTAAGACGATATAAAAATACTGATTTTATTTTATTTTTTTTTGTTTTTTATTTTTCTTCCCTACGATGAATAAACTTTCCTCAAACTGTTTATATTCGTAGGAGTGTTCTCTCTGTACTTGTTTATATGACATTTGAGATATATGCATATTTATATATATTTATATATATATTTTATAGGTTTTTTGGGTTTCGTTTATATTAAATTTTATAGATTACGTTCCTTTATGCAAGGTGAGAAAGGTGAACTAAAATGTATTGCTAATAAAACAAATTTGTCATCATTTTATATTTAATTTTAAGGATGTGATCAAACGAATACGTGAATGAACGATTAATTCAATAAATTGTGTTAAAATATTTAATGTATTGACTGAAGATCTTGTTTGCAATAAAAATAATATGGCTGAAGGAAATAATGTAGTTCTTGAAGACGATAAGAAGTATTATTTGGAAGAAAATCAAAGGATCATCGACAGGGCCCCTTTTAAACATTTAAAGATCGACAATGCACAAATTTTAGATACTGTTGAGGGTAGAAAAATATGTGAAAATTGTTATAGGTCGAGAAAATTTTTTTGTTATACATGTTTTACTCCTATGATCGATGAAAAATATTTTCCACGCTTGAAGGTATCTATGACAAAATTGTCTAAATATTTAACCGGTCACATGTTAATTTTTGTTTTCATGTCCAAATGTAATTAACCGGTTATGAGTTAACTCTAGCTTACACTGTCTAGCTTCTGTATAAAACTGCCAGTCAACAATGCATTAATATTTCTATATATATTTAATAAATAATATTGATTTTAAATTTCTTATTATTACAGCTACCTGTAAAAATAGATATTATTAAACATCGTAGAGAAATAGAAGGAAAAAGTACAGCTGTCCATGCTGCCGTATTAGCCCCTGATGACGTAAAGATATATATTTATCCAGATTTTCCTGAAATGGTAAAGAACGAAGAGGTATGATAATATATATAGCAATACAATTCGTTGGTAATCATTACATTTTTTACATATGTTAATGACATTATCCCTCAGACTGTTCTCATTTTTCCTAGCAAAACTGCTGTAAGTATCAGTAGCTTACTTGTTAAGGAAGTTAAACAAGATGGGAAAAGTTTTTTAGAAAGAATTGGAAGGAATGAATATCCAATAAAGAGAGCAATTTTTATCGATAGTACATGGCATCAAACAAAGTCGATATATAAAGATCAAAGATTTAGAGGCCTGTATAATATTTAACGATATTCTCATCCCATTATTTGAATTTATTTTAATTTAAAACTAAACATTAATTTATAGATTTAAGATGTATCATTTTAAAATCAAGAATGTCACAATTCTGGCGACACCAAAAGAAAAGCCCAAGATGGTATTTGGCAACAATAGAAGCGATTCATCAATTTTTAGTAGAACTTCATACATGTGCCTTTGATATAATAGAATGTACATATAGAGAAGAGAATAAGGATAATTTAAAAATTGGAGAATTAAATACATCTAATATATCTAATTCTAATCAAAAGTATGATGGCCGATACGACAATCTTTTATACTTCTTTAAATATATGTATGAAAAGATTCACACTATATATGATCATGAAAAATTATTGGCATATAAAAGACCTCTAATATAATACATATAAATAAATATATTCAATAAATTATTCTTCTATAACAATTTGAATATTTATGATTTGTTATTTTTGTATTTTTGATTTTTAAGTAGAAAAAATAAAAAAAAACTAATTTTTTGTTTCTGTTAAAATATGTATTACATGATATATTCGTTAATTTTTTATTATTAACATCTTAGAAAGATATAACATATACAAGCTCATATATAATACATGGTGGAGACATTATTTTCCTGTTGCACTTGTAGTTCACATTTTTAACATACCCATTACTAAAATCACACATGCTCTGAATGAAAGATAGAGTATAGCCTGATATAACTAAACAATAAACGCATGATAGAGAAACTGTTACATATTTTTATTTTTTTCATATCTGTCACTAAAGTTTCACATGCTTTGAACAAAAGATGATGAACAATTTTAGTCCCCTTAAACTTATGATTTTTATACAATTACTCTCTAATATACTTTCAATAAATTATATATCACTCATGTAACACCAGCTTCGTTTAATTTAACATTGCATACAGAATCCATTTTAATTTGAAAACTTTTCCAAACAGAAATTCTTCTATAATTATTATTTAACTTTTCAATGAGTAATCTTGTATTGGGTATATGCAGCCAATATTTTCCTAATGCAGGATTTACTAATGTTTGTGTTTCTTTTGTTGCGGATCCACTGCTTCTATCATTTGGCAGTGTCCAATGAGTTATTAAATTTACTATAATAATAGGTATATTAAATTCATTCGCTATAAATCGACATAGATTTGATAAATGATTTAAAATAAAATTAATTTCTGGGTCCTTAGAAGATTTAAAAATTATTCCTGGCAGAGAGTCGATGATTAAGGCTTTTGTACGCATATCATTCTCTTGTTTTAAAATATTTATTATATATTGCAGAATAACAAGTAATTTATTAGAATCTCGCACCAATGTAATTCTTATCTGCTCCATCGCTTTATTGATTTCCTAAAAATATATTGTTATTTTATATAAACCTATCTCTCTCTCTCTGAATATATATTTCATATATATAATTAACAAAATTATAAACATTACCTCTTTGCTGTTAGTCCTATACTTCAAAATATTCTTTACTCTGGAGGCAAAAAAATCTCCTTTGGTATCAATGTACCTCACAAGACTATTCGGTAATAATACAATATTACTTGCAATTGTTAGACATAATTGTGTTTTTCCAGAGGAAGATAAACCACATACTTCATATATTTGACCAGGATTTAAACCACCGCCTAGTAAATCATCCAAACTGTAATATAATTAATTAAGAATATTTTATATTGTTTACAAATATAATCTATTCTATTATTTATAATATAATCCCAATAAATACCTTCTTATTTTAGTGCGAACTGTATTTAGTTGTTCTAATTTCCATAAAACTGAGGGTCTTTTTATAATGCCACCAAATTTGTCTGTAAGATTTTTCTTAATGTCAATCACTTCCTGTACAAATTTTTATCGTAAAATTCTATTATAATATATAAAAAATAAGAGATTTTTAAATAAAATATAAAATTTTAAACGTACCTTAAATGAAAGATTCGTTACAGTTCTTAATTTGTCTTGATCCTCGATTATAAAATCGATTACAGTGAATATTTTTTTATGACGTAACCGTTGAATTATGCTTTCCGATAATTGAGAATGCATATTAGAATTTAATTGTTCCATTCTATAATTAAAAATAAATAAAAAAAATTAAATAGTTAAAATTTAATACACAAAGTAAAAGGAAATCCCCCCCCCTTTATCTCAATAAATTTCAAATCGTTATAACACATACTACGTAGATCAGTGTAAATATAAGGTAGCTTTCTAAAGTAGATGATGCGCCGTATTAAGTACTCGAAATGACCTCAGGCGTCATTCTCGTGTTTGCGCGTGAAGCACGCGGTTAGCCTGATGAAGAAAAAGTCGAGTGGATGGAATTATTCAAGGAGAGAAGAGGATACATCGTGGTACGACATATTTCGTCTAAGATTAACCTTTCTCGTATTCACGCGTATATTTATATTCGTCTTTCTTGTTTTTCACATTTTTTTTTGTCCGCATATCAATCTTAGGTCACTTTGAAGATGAAGAAATCTCCTTTTAATGGTTTTCTTCAACTCATTAACGATCGAATATTTCAATGTTGTATATCGAAGATACGCATTCTACGTATTTTTCCTTTATACGGAAGCTATGCTCACCAGGCACGCACATGGTCAGAGATAGGCAATCGTGTGCACGTGCTATTGAACAGAAAATATTTCAACAGTGGAATGAGCTCCAAGTATCATCGGAACACAGGATGAGATGATATAAAGTGAGTACAAATTTCATCTTATTGCATCCGCTTTATTTTTTTTACGAATATTAATTTGTTTTTGATAATAGATACTAGTTAGTAATCTATTCGATATTTCTATAGAAGTTTCTTTGTATAATTCATATAATTGATTATAATTGTAATAATTATGCTGATGATACTATAAAAGCAACGTATATACGTACTATTATAAGAAATTATACTCGCGATTATTTAATATTAGCTTGTATGGTCATGGATCTATAATGCTATATTAGGATTAGTAAAGAATAAAAGCTTTTTTATATCAACTATAGAAGATATATCTAAGTTTATATTAGTTCAAATAGTCTTTGTCTTAAGATCATTAAATAAAATTTCATCTTGATAATTTTTTATGTAATCATGCAAGAATAACAGTTTAATATAAAAAAGTTAATGTGAATATGTAAGAAATATTAATACAAGCAAGGAATAATGGTTGCTGATTTGATTAAAGTTAGTAGTTTTAACATTTTAACATTCCACCAATCGCGTGATCCCATTGATGCCACGTTGCCAAACGTTTCCTTCGTTTCAACCAATCAGAGAGTTCGAGCTGCATAGTAGCGCCATCCAACCGTGGCTTCTGTAAACGATCATGAGCAAGCTGCTCCTGATCCGGTCCCGTCCGAAATTTTATCGGGAGCCGTCGCCATGTTTAGAAGTGTCTGCGTCCTTGAGCAAGTCGAGCGAAAATGTTCTGTAAAATATTAAATATAGCTCATGTAGCGTATATTACGTGAAGTACCTAATTGCTATTTAACGCTCGCCGATCACGGGTGTGACAATTATTTTCGTGGATGGCTCACCTACGTTGCAGAATTTTGTGATTACATTATGGTAAGTCCGCCCTCGTATCAGAGCAACGCCAACATGGCGGACGAAAAAATTCTTTTGTATCACCGCGAGGCTCCACTGACGCAATTATAAGAAAATATATATTTCGAATAACGGTATAGTTTAAAGAATCAAAAATAACGTACTTTGTATCTCAATTATTAATTAGCATATTTAAAATTATATTACAAAAGTATTTATTCGGATAATCTTAATTTATTCGTCGAAGGAACACTCGTACGCCCCAAATGTTTGTCGCGTAAGTCTCGGGTATTCTTAACTTTCTTTCGATATTCGAAATGACAACGCTATTTTCGACGACCGGTTGGTCGCTGAGACATTCAACGTCTTCGTGATACCGTAATTTTCAATGTACGCGCACTTCTGCGCAGTACTAACGTTTTATAAATTCCAATGAGTCTTTATGAATGAATACATAGCGAAATTTTGATTTCGGCGCTTTTTTCACAAATCAATTAACATTCTTACATGACCGTATTTGTACTCTATTCCCGAACAAAGATCGTATCTGAGTATGCGTTTGTTAAAAACTAAAAAAAGAAATGCATTATGCCATGCAATACTTTTTGTACTCATCAAATACTCATAAGATAATTAATTACGTTGACATTCCGTATGTAATTTTATTTGTGTTGGATGTTTTGATAGAAGTACTTTAGATTGGTTTAAATAACATACATAAATGTTTTGTTTATATCGTTATTATAGTCTTATATATCTACACACATATGTATGTATGTATGTATATGTAAAACTTATTAAATAGATCTCTTAATTATTTTTCTTTTTAAAAAATTGAATACTCTTTGTTTTAATTCATGTAATAAATGATATTATGTTATGTTCATACAAATCACATGTATTTTGTAGTATCAAAATTTTATTTTGTTCATTCTATTTTTAATCTTGTATATATATATATATATATTTTCTAATTGTTTTCTTTCTTAAATTTGGAATACTTCAATATTCTAGCAGACTAACTTTAAATTTTATAGTTAGGTTATAAATATATAAAATTTCACTTTAAATTTAAATCTGATTAGATATCATTTTATTGCAATATAATTTAACAATTTTTATAGTGTCACATGTAATGAGTGATAAGCAAAGTGCACCTATTTTGCCGCCCCTTTCCGGGGGTGGAGGAAATAATGGGGGAAACAATGGTGGTGCAACACAACAAACTGTCAGTCTCCAGCAAGTTCTGGCTACAGCCCAAGGGCTCAATGTACTCACTACTGGTGGTGGCCAGCAGTTTGTTATTACTTCACAAGTTCCCGGCCTTACACAGGTAATCATGAATAAAAATATAGCGATAAGACATTAACTTGTTAGCATAAACTTCTCTCTATACTTTTCTTTTACAATGTGCGTTTCTTTTTAGATTATGTACTTTTTGAATATTTTGCTTGCTTTATAAAATATGTTGTATTCGATTATAAATACAATATTACATCTTTTCTAGGTTATTACAAGTAGTGCTACGACCAATACAAATGTTCAGCAAGTTGGTGTTACGAGGATTGTTAATATTAGTAACACAACACCTCGTGTTAGCACTGTGGGAGTTCCAAGTGCAAGTAGTACGCCTCTCACATCACCTTCTCGCCAAACTTCGACAAAGGTTGTATTGGCGACTTCACCTAAACTTGTGCGAACTTCTATGGGGAACATGTTTATTGCACCTTCTTCCCAAGTTTCAATGCAGTCACCACCAGCGAGGAAAAGATTAAAACTTACAGAAAATACGGAGAAAGTAACTGCTACTGCAGATGATGGTATGAGTTATAGGAAACGTATTATTGAACACAAAATGAAGAGAATGAGAGCAATAAGAGAAAAATATGCTGAGAACGCTTCAGAATTGTTCTTCCTTCATGCTGGTGGAAATATGATGGATTTTCAAGCTTGGAAAAAACGTCCACCTACATCACAGTATTTACATTTTTTAAGGCAACATAGATTAGATCCAGATGATGATGATGAAGATTTAACAGTTCCATTACCATCAATACGAGAAATTCCATTATCTCCTGTAACGACATCTGCTTCAACTACAGTTCCTACGAATCAGAACGCAGAAGTGAAAATTTCTGGAGTTGGTGTGACTCCAGTTGCAGTATCTACAACTTTACCTGCCGCTGTTGCTCAACTTAGTCAACAAGGTAGTAAATACTTAGCATGCTTAGTTGTTTAATTTCTATTATTAACAATAGCTATAAAATGATAAATAGTTGATTTCTTGTACATAAGTGCACAAAAAATTATAAGCATTTATACACACCTTTATTCCAGTATCAATTCTTTTACATAATATACTACTTATTTCGCATGCCATAAAGTATTACCTCACTGATAGCCTGTGGTACTGTAATTATTATTTTATATATTTATCTAAAAGTCATATTAAAACATAATAAGTGATAATCAATAATTTTATTGAAATTATATGAATCATAGGCAATAGCCAATTTAATATTTTTTAATATATTATACATATCGTGGAAAAAATAATTTAGTCAAAGCAGATTGCATTTAGTACATGTATCATGATAAAATAAAAAATCATTTGCGCAATAGGACAAGTACCAGGTAGGCCTCAAGGGGGCCGCCATGGCATGGTGTTTGCCTTCCGAGCAGCAATACAGTCTTCACCAGTCACCGTTCACCCTCCACCTACTTCTACTCTAGCACCCACGCTCATTATAGGTGATTACTTACTATAGGGCCTGTCATTTGATGTTTAGAATATTTCATACAAATTTACTTTGAGGTGAACAATTGTGTTTTAATTTGATAAATCATTGAACAAATCTTGATTTCTTTATTATATTTAAGTAATAATTAAATGTCTTTTTCTGTTTGTATGTGCTTTTTATTCTGTTAATTATTTGCAAGGTGCTAGTTATGTTGCGGGTGGTGGATACAATTTTTTTATTACATACATTTGAAATAATATATGTATAACATATGAAAATTTACTAAGATTTAAAATGTTATTCATATATTTCTCATTTCAATTTAATTTATAGCTTTTTTTTTTTATTGGGAATACAATTATTTATAATTGTATTAATTCTGATAAAGTCCTTTTAATTGCTGCATGATTATTATTATAATAATTATATATTTTATTTCAAGTCTATGATAGGAAAGAGCACTATCAATATTATCGGATATATAATTTAATAATTCTTGTCATTTTTCTTTTTTGTATAATTTGAATGTTGAAATTGAAAGTTGTGCCTATTAAGAACAAAGTTTTTTAATCCTTTTTTGTTTTCACGTGTATTATTTATGTTGCTATTATAGAAAATGCTATTTTTATTATACTTTTTATATTCCAAGTTTGTATAATTATTATATATATATCTTTATTAATATGATATAATATGTAAATTTCATGCCAGGCAAATGTTTTAATAATTTACAAATTGAAACGATTACTTGGCATGGAAAAATAATACAAAACATATGTAAAGTTGTTTAAATAATTTAATCAACTAAAGGGCGCTTTGTTACAACAACTTAAAAAGTTCTATCAATTATTCGTATTCTCGTAACTTATTTACAATGATCATTTGTTTCTGTTATATCAGGTGGAACTCCATTAGTCCCAGAGATGCCAAAACATACAACTCCTACGAATCCAGTTTCAGAGAAAACACCTACTACTCCGGTTGTAACAAAAGCTCCTAGCCCATCTAGAAGTACTTCTCAACCTGTTGTTAAGCTTATGAAATTATCTACTACTTCTGCAGTTTCAAGTGATATTACGAATAATCAAGAACAAATAGTAGAAAAAGCAAAACAAGTAGGTTATTATTTAAACGATTGTAGGAAATTCCAACAATAATTTGAACGTATTTTAATATGTATATTTTATGGAACTTATAGGAAGCATACGTAATGCAAAAGATTGCGGAATTACAACGAGATGGACTGTGGTCTGAAAGAAGATTACCAAAGGTACAGGAGCCTGCAAGAACAAAGGCTCATTGGGATTATTTATTGGAGGAAATGGTTTGGCTAGCTGCTGATTTTGCGCAAGAAAGAAAATGGAAGAAAGCCGCTGCGAAAAAATGTGCGCGTATGGTGCAAAAACATTTTCAAGAAAAAGCTATTCAAGCTCAAAAAGCTGAAAAGTCTCAAGAACTTAGACTCAAAAAAATTGCCAGTTTTGTTGCAAAAGAAATTAAAACTTTTTGGGCTAATGTAGAAAAGGTAATAATAAAATATTAATTTTATTATATTACTTCTTTTTTTATATTGTCATGATCACACGTGTAGATGTACAGACACGACGCACACACACACACACACACACTTATTGTTACCCCACACTAATAAGCCGACAGTTTTAATATACATTTGTTAAGATTGTGTGCTCGTTGTGGGAACAGCAAAGTCAGCATATTGTGTATGGCTGTATTAATTATTTTTATACCGTCAAAGAATATTGATGCTGGACAATTATTCTTTAAACACTTATATTGAGATGTTTGATTAATGCTATTTCATTAACAATAAGTTAACCTTTGTTCATAATATTTTTCTTTGTAGCTGGTGGAGTACAAACAGCAAACAAGGCTAGAAGAGAAAAGAAAAAAGGCATTAGATCAGCATTTAAATTTCATTGTAGGGCAAACAGAAAAATATTCAACATGGTTAACTGAAGGTCTTAATAAAACAGATGGCTCTCAGAGTATCCCAGCTTCAATAAATAGTTCACGTATTTCCTCGCCAGTACCAACTGGAAAATCTCCTTCTGATGGTAAATTGAATGAATTTATTGTTTTATTTATTCAATGTCTTAATTATGTGAATTCATTTAAAAATAAATTTATTTTTCCATTGTAGAAGAATTTCAGCCAAATCAAAGTTCAGATGACGACGAAGAAACAATAGCTAAAGCCGAAGAAGAAATGAAATCAACTACAGATCAAAAAGAAGAAATAGAATTATTAAAAAAAGAATCAGAAATGCCTTTGGAAGATCTTCTGAAAGATCTACCACCAAATTATTTAGAAGAAAGAAATAAAAGCTTATCACCTAGTGGAAAAGAAGTTAAAGAAGCGGTATATCTTTTTCTTTAAATCTTTAAATTGGTTATTAATAAACTGTAATGATTTATGCAATACCATTTCTATTACAGGAAAATGAAAAAAGTTCGGATAAAGATACTGATTTTGTTGCTGCATCGGATGAGTCTTCTGATGAAGAAGATACTATAATGGAACAGGAGAAAATGGAAGGAAACACAGATCACAGACAGGAATTGGATGATCTCAAGGTTTATATTACACACGATTTAGAAAAAAAACATTCCAGAGATTATATTTTTATTAAACAAAATATATTTATATATATATATATATATTTATATTCATAGGCAGAGAATGAAATGTCTATTGATGAACTTATGGCAAAATATGGTAATATGTCGAATGTACCAATGGATGTGGAAGAAGATGATGATGCTCAAGGTAAGTCTTTATGATTTGAATTTTATCATTCAACAATATATATGTTTTAAATTTTTCTTAATAATCGATGATGATATCTTACCAATCCTGATGGTGTGATAGCTATGGTTTTCATACTTGATCCTATTTTTTTTGATGTAATATGAGGCATTTGTCTGAGATTAATTAAAAAGTGTTACAATATTTAATATAATCAAAATATAATATTTTGTTCACAATTATATTAATATTTTTCTTTAGAGTCTGATAAAGAAACTGACCAAGAAAAAACTCAGGAGAACGAAGAACAAGTAACTAGCAGTGAAAGTGAAAGTGAAGAAAGTGATGAAGCTGAAGATTCACAAATGCATAGTGATACAGAAACAGATGTAGGCCTAAAATCTTTACTGGAAGAACCATCTACTGAGAAACCGAGTGAAAATAAGGCTAGTTTTTATTTATATTTTAATATTGTCTATTTGAGAGAGATAATGAATTATTTTTATATGTCGCACATTTATCTTCAGACTTCAGAAGCAGATCACGTGGAAGATGCTCATAATGAAATGGACAATGTAGCAGCTTTAGCAGAAAGCATACAACCTAAAGGAAATACTTTGCTTACTACTTGTGTAAGTAATTCTTTATCTTATATTGAATATTGAATATTTTGCTGATGAGTCGATAGTACAAGTATTACCCTTTCCATCCAAGGTAATGTGACATCTTAGTTGCACATAGACCATTTCAGGAAGGGTAAAGTATAAGTGACTGCGTTGTCATTTAGTAACTTCATATATTGATTTACTTTAAAAGGTTGTCACGACATTTTTTCGCAAGATACGTTTATTCTTTTGTATTTTTTTCTTTTTATTAAGATATAGGTACTTATAAACATTTCACGTTTATAGGTTGTTACAAAAATCCCGTTTCTTTTAAAACATTCACTTCGAGAGTATCAACATATTGGGTTGGATTGGCTTGTAACAATGTATGATAGAAAGTTGAATGGTATTTTAGCCGATGAAATGGGTTTGGGAAAAACTATACAGACAATAGCATTATTAGCACATTTGGCTTGCGAAAAGGGTAACTGGGGTCCTCATCTTATAATAGTACCAACATCTGTAATGCTTAATTGGGAAATGGAATGTAAAAAGTGGTGTCCAGGATTTAAAATATTAACGTACTATGGCACACAAAAAGAGAGAAAACAAAAGAGGACAGGTAATAATAAAGAATTTATTTCCCGCAATGATAATATTGTACAAATAGAAATATTATTTAAATTTTATTTAATAAAAATTATATTTCACACAGGATGGACCAAACCAAACGCTTTTCACATATGCATTACATCTTACAAACTTGTCATACAAGATCATCAAAGTTTTAGAAGAAAAAAATGGAAATACCTCATTTTAGACGAAGCTCAAAATATAAAAAATTTTAAGTCACAAAGATGGCAATTGCTATTAAATTTTCAAACTCAACGGTGAATATTAAAATAAAGAATTTAAATATATATGTAACCGACTAATTAATTTATAAAACACATTAGAGTATATCATCGTATTTGATTCTAGGCGATTGCTACTAACAGGAACCCCTCTTCAAAATAATTTGATGGAATTATGGTCTTTAATGCATTTTTTAATGCCAAATGTGTTTCAATCCCATAGAGAATTTAAAGAGTGGTTCAGTAATCCAGTTACAGGAATGATTGAAGGAAACAGCGAGTACAACGAGAAAATTATTCGTCGTCTACACAAGGTCTGTACGTACTATTTTTGCACTTGTCTGTTATAAAAAAAAAAAAACCTTTTCTCGCTACCGACAACAGACACGTGATATCTTATAACGTTGTGTGTTTTTATTCATAAATAGCGAGATATTAAATAAGTTCTCTATAAAACTCGCGTGTCAGAAATGGTAATTTATATGGCATACGTATCCTGTTTGGAGAAACAATGATTCTTAGATTTTTATAACTATATATATATTTCACATGCATTGTTTTGTTAATGCTATGTTTATACAAATTGATTACTAAGGTATTTTTAATTTTGTTTTTTTAGGTACTAAGACCGTTTCTTTTAAGGAGATTAAAAACTGAGGTGGAGAAACAATTGCCAAAGAAGTATGAGCATGTTGTTATGTGTCGATTGTCCAAAAGACAAAGATACTTGTATGATGATTTCATGTCTCGGGCCAAGTAAGTAGCTTACTTTATCATTTGATTATGATATATTTTTATTCTGTATGTAGGGTAATAAAGTATATATTAAAAAAAATGAACATTAATTAATTTTAATTTATATCAAAAGGACGAAGGAAACTTTGGCTAGTGGAAATCTGTTAAGTGTAATCAACGTATTAATGCAATTGCGCAAAGTCTGTAACCATCCAAACTTATTTGAAGTCCGACCTACAGTCTCTCCGTTTCAAATGGAAGCAATAGAATTTATTACAGCTTCTTTAGTATGGAGTGTTCTTGATTATGATCCATTTAAAGTAAATATATTTTATAATTTCATACTAATATAATCACACACACATATATTTGATATACAAATGTTAAATGTAATTTTATTATATATATTTTTACAGCATATTGATCTGTCTACCTTAAATCTGTTATTGTTAGACTCGGAATTTACATTAACAGCATTTGGAGCACATAGAATAAAACGCTTAAAAACTTCTAGAAAACTAATAGAAGAAATAGATAATCAGCCAGATCCACCTCCTAGATGTCCTTCTGGAAAAATAAAAATTAATGTCAGATTATCAAATCAAGTCAAACCATCGTCAGCTCCACAGCCAGCTCAAACTAAAGTTAAAAGTTTAGCTGGTATATTACCGACTCCAAGAGTTGGCACGTCACCATTAATTAAATCTTTCAACAATCAAAGTACTCCAGGTCAAGGTATGAATTGTTTTGTAGTCTTTATAATTCATATAAATATTTGCTTTCTAAAAAAGACTATAGATCTAAGTATATCGTTCATTCATTTAAGGTGTAACATTACGAGTAGCAGGTGGTCAACAGTTGCAAGGATACTCTGTGCAATTGGTGCAGCATCAAGGCAGTGTAAAAGGTATTGAATTGAAACGTTTGAAAAATATTTTAATGCATCGTCGATTGGTGATTGTATGTATTGTTCAATCATGTTTGCAACGGTGCTAGAATAATTTTCTCAGGCCAGCTTGTTTATAATCATCTTATTTTATAAGCATTCTAGAACCAAGAATACAATAATACTAGTATTATTAGCTTTTCTTTTGTATATGTTTTACATAAGTTCCATGTATCTAATAGCTATACCTGTTGGAACATTGGCACATAATTCACAAAGTACAACGATTACATCAACAACAGCATCTATGAATGCACAGAGAATTACAGTTGGGAATGCAAATATTCGAGATGGACTGCAAAGGTTGGCTACACAGACAGTTACAGTCAAACAAGGTGATTCCGTCCAGAGAATACCAGTGCCCGGTTTTGCACAGCTGGTTCAAACCTCTACTGGTAGACATATCATTTTGACTTCAAATCAACAAAATACTAACACAGGTTTGTGAGAAGAGTGATCATTTCCCACTGACAATCACATATTAGGTCTACAACTTTGCTTCCGCCGTTTTCCTATAGAGTGTTTTAGCGGTTAGTTAGTGGTCGAAATAAATAGATCATAGACATCATACAATAAGCTTGAGCATCTGCCAACATAATCCCATTGAAACATTATTCGATTTATTACGTTGTTCTAAAGATAGGAGAAAAAGTGACCAGCGATGGACAATACTTTGAATCATAAATGTATAACCAGTTCTTTAAAAAAAAAAGTCTCGAATTTAGGAAAAAAACGGCGGAAACAAAGTTAAACACCTAATAATTTCAAAAATGAGCATGATAATACGTGGAGTATCTTTGCATGATGTTATGTGTCTTTGCTGATTTTATTAAAAATTTATATTGTATTTTAATCACAACATTTATGATTAATAACTACATTTTTATATTCTAAGCCAATGATAAAAACTTTGAATCAGTATATTAATAAAGAAAATGTTATTTTATTTTAGTTTCATTTCCGGTAATGACACCGACTGGACAACGATTAACAGTACTATCTAAATCTTTAATGGGCCTAGCTACTTCTGCGACCACAGTAAATAAAGTCGTTGGAGGAGTCGTTACTACGACTACGAGTGGAACTAGTGGGAGACCAGTAATGAGGGTTCCACCCTTGAATGTTACTGGATCACAGGCACAGTCTACTGCTGGTAATGGGCAACCTACTCATCAACAAACTTTACGCTGTGGTATTATTACGAGGCATACGCTAAAGGAATCTGAAAAGACTCAAGCAAAGGAACAGCCTAAATCAGAATTTCATTTGGTGAATATTTGCATGATATATTACTATTAACATCTGTTCAAATATGTTTTATTATATTTTTATGAACTATTATATTTTATTATATATCAGCCACAATTGGAAGAAGAACGAAAGCAAAGGAGACAAGGAAAACTTCGTTCATTGGCAAACATTAACGAAGGTCGATGTGCAGCGTGTCCATTATACGGTGAAGATTTATTTACTGCATTAAGAATTGGAAAACCATCCACAGCCTGCTCTTGGCATAATGGTCTTGTAAATTGCAAAACTGCTAAAATACCTGTTCGTACACGGAAGCAATTTTTCTCCTGTACAGAAGCATTAGCAGAAGCAATAAAAAGTACTGAACGAATTGTTGAAGAGCTTAAAGAAGTTTTTGAGAGGTAATTTTAATTAATATTATTGAATATAATTATTTAATATTTCTGTTATCTTCATGGAGTTATTTTTTATTAAAGATTTGTTGTTTACGTTCCTGCTGTACGTGCACCAGTACCGCGCTTCCATGTTTCTCATCCACCGCCGCATAAGCTTTGGAATCAGCGTCGTATGCAGATAGAATTGCAACGCGAGTTGTCACCAAAAATGCAATTATTCCATCCGGTGACTAGGTCGATGATGACACAATTCCCTGAACCTAGATTAATACAATACGATTGTGGTAAACTACAGTCCTTGGATCTTCTTCTTAGAAAATTGAAGTCTGAAAATCATAGAGTTCTCATTTTCACTCAAATGACTAGGATGTTAGATGTACTCGAAGCTTTTCTTAATTTCCATGGTCATATATACTTGCGTTTAGACGGCACTACTAGAGTAGATCAACGGCAGGTATGTTCGACTATTTTTTATATCATCAAATATTAAATGTTCAATATCGTTGCATTGTTCAATTTTTTTTTCCAGGTTCTAATGGAAAGATTTAATGGCGACAAACGAATATTTTGTTTTATACTATCTACAAGATCTGGTGGAGTCGGTGTGAATTTAACAGGAGCAGATACAGTCATATTTTATGATAGTGACTGGAATCCTACAATGGATGCTCAGGCACAAGATAGGTGTCATAGAATAGGTCAAACGCGCGACGTACATATCTACAGGTAAACTTGATACTGTTGTATCGATGGTTATTCATAAAATTAAAATAAGAAATTACATGACAAATGAATAATATGTTGCATTGAATTTTTATTAGATTGGTAAGCGAAAAAACTGTAGAAGAAAATATTTTGAAGAAAGCTAATCAAAAAAGATTACTTGGAGATCTTGCTATCGAAGGTGGAAACTTTACAACAGCTTACTTTAAGAGTGTAAGAATTTTATTATTATGAATGCAAACACAAATCTAATATCATATTTTAAATTTATTTATAATCCTTATTTATATACTTTACAGTCTACTATTCAAGATCTCTTTAACATCGATCAATCTGAAAATGATGCATCAACCAGGATGGCAGAAGTACTTGAACACGTTGAAGATAAAGTGGCAATGGGTGCTCTTGAAAGTGCTCTTGCAGCTGCGGAAGAAGATCTCGATGTTCAGGCAGCTAAAATAGCAAAAGCTGAGGCAGTTGCTGATTTAGCAGAGTTCGACGAGAATATTCCTTTAGATGATGTAGATAAAGAAGACGTTCAAGTTAGCAAGGCGGAACAAGAAGTACAGAATTTAGTGTCTCAGGTAACGAAATTTATTAAAATAATTTTATAATCCAACAATAACTTAAGTATATAATTATTATAAAACAAAAAGAAGTAAAATTGCAAATTTTTCTTTTAATATAAAATTTCATCAAATAATTTTCATATTTAGTTAACGCCAATTGAACGATATGCGATGAAGTTCGTGGAAGAGTCTGAAGGTGCGTTTTCAGCCGCACAATTGGCGGCCGCCGAACGTGAACTCGAAGAACAGAAGAAAGAATGGGAAATGGATCGTTTGCGTGCACTTCGCGAGGAAGAGGAAAGACGTATGCGACTGGCTGATGATGACGAGAAACCTCTGACCTTTGGACGTGAGGACGCGCAGAATCAGGTTAATAGTGCTAATAATTCAAAGAAATTAGTTAGTAAGAAAGTTCGGCAAGGTAGTAGTGGTGGTAATAGGAGGAGGAGGAGGAGAGGTTCGCGCAAGCGAAATAGTAGAAGTACTCGGGAATCTTCTGAGAGTGAAACAGATACTACAACAGAATCTGATTCGGATTCTCAGGAGGAAGATGTTGTTGAGGATAGTCTCGATGAGGAGTCAAGTCATACAGAAAGTCAGAGTCAAGGTGACGAAGAGGACGAAGAGGAAGAGACTGATAATCGTAATGATTCAGAACGAGGATCTTATCCTAAACGTAATAATCGTTCGAACAAACCTTGTGATCAAAATCATTTCGATTTAAACAGTCCACGAACTAGATCTAGGGGGAACGTTAAGATTAATTTGTGGACGTTAGATGTGAGTCCGATTCTTCCTGGAGTTAAGCCAAAGTGTCGACGTAGGTCTAGCAAAAGAAAAAAGATTGATCTTAAAGGGAATGAAGCGACCGCTACTATCTCTGCCTCCTCTTTGTCACAGATTGAAAATGACTTGAATACGACTGGAAAATCAAATGATTCTGACGAAGATGACGATAGGGTTAAACCAACTAAAGCTATTGAGGAGAGTTATAAAAAGACTACCATTAATTGTGAAGAGAATTCTTCTTCGAATCTTTCGTGTCAATTGCAAATTGATAAAAATTCTATAAAATTTCACAATAAAGGCAACAGCAGCACGACAGACGTCGTTAAGTGTTCCGAATTTTCGGAAACTGAGATATACGTTAAATCTGACGATACGAAATCGGCATCTGTAATTTCTTCGAATATCGAAGATACGATTTCCCAAATAAATAAATGTAATGTGGTTTCCGAAAAATGTTTTAAATCAACAATTAAAATACTCGCTAATAATGAAACTGCTGGTGAAGAAGCTTCTTCTCTTCAGTCTTCATCTTCATCAATAAAACGTTTTGACGTCACAACGACAGTTTCTGAAGTTAAATTAGAATTAGATGATATTACAACTAGCGTGGATAATAATAAAAATTCGGAGCCTTCTGAAATAAATTTTAAATCGGAAAAAGCTAATTCTTTATTGAATAAAATTAATAAGTCTATTGATAATGTAAAACATAATCAAGACAAAGTAGAGAATAAAAATCCCATCAATGAGAGTAGTGAATCTTCTGAAAATGTTGAAGAAAATCCAATTAGAAACAATGTAAAAGAAATTTTAGAACCCATTAATGAACCAGTCATTTCTAAAATTTTAATTGAAGAAACTACTGATAAATCAAATTTTTCAGAATCCAATTCTTCGTCAATGTATTTAAGCAGTGATGATAAATCAACATGTCCAATGTCTAACTCTAATTCAAAATCTACATTATTTGCATACTCGCTTTCTTCGTATGAAAATATACAAAATGAAAATAGTACTGATCCTGTAACTGTAGATAATAATGAAACTAAAATTGATTCTCGCATAGATTTAAAAGAATCTAATTCATCTTCATTAGATGAGCACAGAAGTGTCGATTCAGATACAACGTTTCAAAGTATCGATAATTCTTCAGTGGAAACTGAAGATTTAATTAATGAATCAGTTACAGAAAATTCTGTGATATCAATTGATACTAGTCAAAAATTTACTACCGAAATTGCCAAGAATCAGGTTACTGAAGATGACGATCAACTAGAACTGTCTTCTACAGTTAGTACGTTAGACGATTCTCTTCCTACAAATGAATGTAACGACCTAAGTAATGAATTGAATAAGGAAACGAACTTTGAAAAATCTGAAATACCTAAAAAAATAAGTACAGAATCGTCCAAAGAGTGCTCAAATAACGAATTGAAATCTAAATCATGGAAATCTGATTTATCTAGCACTCTAGGAGTAACCACGCGTAGCGCTAAAGCTGTTATGTTATTAGAAAATTCAAACAACAATGTTGATTCGGAAATAACATCTAATACCAATACAAAACTCGAGGAAATTTCATCGTGTGATATGAAGAATATAAAACTAGAAGTTACCAATCGTTATTCTAACGTTGCTCTTAATTCACAAATTGTAACAGCTAAAGTAACTATGTCCCGAACTTCTGATAGTAATAATAGTAATTCCCAGTCTGCCTCGGATTATAGTAGAGTAACAAGATCTTCTGTGAATCAATCAATGATGTTAACAGCAATCGAAAATTCGTATATGCAAAAATCTCAAAGACGTCGACCAGGCACACCATCGTCAGATTTAAAATCACTTAGGCCGATCACTAGGTCTACCGCGATTAATTCTTCAACGAAAAACGATGAGCATATTAGTAATAAAGCTTATGAAAAACCAACGACGCGTAGCTCGAAGTCATCTCTGGACAATAATGGTTTTTTAAATCCTGTAGTGTTCAGAAGAAGTAGATCCATACCACCTATGAAATCATCCACCACAGAGAGCAATGAATTATCGTCTACTGCACAAAGTAAAGCTGTTCAAAAGAAAGTAGTTGGTAGTAGCGAGAGTACTAGTGGTAATCAGAAACATCGTCCAGGTACACCAGTGCCTACTACTGAAAAAAGTTCATCCAGGGTGACTCGTTCTGGGCAGGTCGGTATTTTAAATTATTTAAAGACACCATCGACATCAGCACCGGTGTTAAGAGGAAATAGACACATCAGAAAATCAGATTCTTCATTGTCGATAAAAGGAGCCTCGGATGAACAGAAAATGTGTGAGCAGCAAAATTTAAGCACAGATACGAATGGTAATGCGGTTGCTACAGAGGAAGCATTTTCACAGGAGAATGACCAAATCAAATTAACTTTTTCTGAAGTCAAAGAAAAACCTCAACGAACCGCTAAAGTTGTAGCTATTCTTACATTAGATACGAGAAACAATCATAATATCAAAACGAATAATAGTAAAAATTCGAATTCTGCTACGAGCGAATCGAAACAGTCAAATAAGAAGAATTCTGACAACATTTTAGAGATATCAAACAAACGGCTATCGAATACTATATCAAACTTGAAAAACGAAGTAAAGCACATTAATGAGTCGACACAAAGGGATGAGACGTCTAATGTAAACAGTACTTATTTGAATTCTAACAAAACTGCTAATGCAGCAACTAATCCATTAAAGACTAACAACACGGAAAAGGTTTCTTTGAAATCTACTGTGATCACTTTAGTCGGTATAAACAATGATACATTAACAGAAGTGACTTCGAAAAAGTCAAGAAAAAAAATGAAACGTACACGATTGACCTCCGCTAATAAATCAGGCCCTGTTTCCACAGAAAGTAAAATTGGAGATACAATTTTAGAGACTTTTGATACAGAGGAGTTACAAATTCAACCGTTAAAGAAATCTGTTCGATTGCAATCTCCTTCCAACCCTCCTCCTTCTCTTCTAAGCTCGGAAAAAGAGAAAACAACAATGGATAAGTTCAGTGGTGATAATTTAATATCATCTTGAGTCTCACTGGAATTTTATTATTGCTGTAACATTTAGCAATGCATTTTTGTATATAAAATATATACATAATATGTTAGTCTATCTACTACATAAAAAATCTGCCGTACGTATTAAAAAAATGCCTCTTTCGAGAAATCTCATAGAAAAAATGGTGGCGATACAGTACACGAGAAAGGTCAAGTTCTGTTCTTCTTCTCTTCTACTTCTTCTCTTCTACTTCTCTTTATTACTTCATCTTCTTCTACTTCTTCAATTTTTCTTTATTTCGAGTAGTCTTGTATATATATATATGTATATTGAAAGAGATGTTCTTTTTGTTTTTTATTATTATTATTATTACTCTTCTTCAATTTCTTTTTTTGTATCTTTTACTACTCAGGGGGCACACATGTGTAATATTTTCTAGCATTGTAAATCGTGCCCTGCATTGTAAAGATTCGAAAAAAAAAGAAAGAATGGAAAACGTTCGTACGGTGGTATTGTAATTTATACATTGATAATCTTAAGTAAGACGTTCAGGAACGAACATATATACATACATGCATACACGTATACACACAGGACACACAAGTGTATTATAATAGTTTATATATATTAGAGACACAGTAAAAAAGAAAAAGAAAAAACAAGCTGTTGTGTCGTGTAGCTTTTAGGATTTAAACGGCGTTTGAGGAACATTTTAAAAAAGAAAAAAAAAAGATGTGGTGTCAAGTCTAAAATGCAGTGAAAAAGATTGTAGGAGGGGTTCATGATAATTTATTAAAAAAATACGCGCCGTACTTCTGCTCTCATAACAAAAAACAAACAAACAAAAAAGTAAAAAGAAAGAAATACCTTGCGCCACATAAATCACGGCAAGGTGTGATGACCTGATTATATCTTAGCTGTAAGACTAATTCTTCGTTTATCAATATATCCTTTTCTCCTCCAATGTAATACTTAAGTTGCGTGCCTGTTTTTTGTATGATCGAGTGCATCCGAGAAAGGATAATAAACAAAGTATTCCTTACTACGAAATAAAAAAGCTAACAAAATGTGTTTTCTTATTTCTTGGTGCGTATCCAAGTCTGTTCGATCAAAGGTTCAGTTCCGTTTTGGTGTCAAACAACTTGCTCAGTGTGCTTGTTTATATAATATATTTCTAAAGTAAATTATTCACACTTCTCTCTCTTTCTCTTTCGCGCGCGTGCTTTCTCTACTTCTTAATTTTTATCTCTTTATATATATATATATCTCTTTCTTTCTCTCTCTCTCTTTCTGTTATTATTTCTATTTCTATTTTTTTCTTTTCACCTCTTTCTCTCTAGCTCTCTACAAAATCACCCGTCTTCTTCTCTTCTTTTCTTATTTTCTACTCTTTTACTCTTCTATTATTCTTCTCTTCTTCTCTTGCATTCTCGTTAATGTCGGTTTGGTGTGGCAAGGCTGTCATGACCGCACGTTCATAAAAGGCAAAAGAAAAGATATTTGTTATTATTTTTAGATTGTAGCATGCATAGAAAGAGCTCCAGTATAATAATCTATAGTTTAGAAAAATGGCACCAAAACACTGCCTTTGCCATTCCAAACTTGGAGTCACCCAAGATATAAGCAGGCACATTGACAAGCGTACGGGTTCAAAAAGTATTAATAATAATTATCATGGTAACATTTCATATTGTTTAAAGAGATGATTTTCTTTTTTGATATAGAAGTATACATATATACATATATATATATATATATATATATATATATAGGTTACGTGCGTTAGATCGCGTACATGCTCGCACGCCTATCCGTATATGCACGTGACATAGAGAAGGGTTTGTCAAAATTGCGGCCAATTCCGTATGGTACTTCCGTCAAACNTATATATATATATATATATATATGTTTAGAAGAGGAACAAACCTTTGAGCGAATCATACGTGTCCATGCTTCCTTTTTCTTCTTCCTAACTTTAATTAAAGTATATATTAATCACTTATTTTTATATTTATTATACATGAAAAGAAAAAGTTTAGTTTAGCGTATACTTTTTTATCTGTTACTAATATTCGTGATAGTTAGAACAAAAAAATTTATGTAATAAAACAAAGTCAAACAAAAATGTATATATAATCAGGAAGTTTTGTAAGGTAAGGTAAGTTGAATTAATATCTTCAAAAAGAGAACTGTGTCGAAGTAATCATATATATGGTATAAAACATCATGCATATATACGAATATACTATTCATTTCTCATATATTATTCTACAGATTTGTGTTTTTTAACATTTTTTATTCAATGAATAATTTTACATCATACAATTGATTTCATGATTATGCTTTCCTGTCTTACAGATATGGTTGTCAGACGACACGATGGAGCCAATGCCGGTTAGTAAACAAATATATTTGTATTAATCTGTGTTTGTTATGTCACTTTAAGATATACTTTTATTCATTGCAATATGTAAGTAGTAAAATTTATAACGGGGGGTTGAAACGGTTCTGATAATAACTGTTTTTCAAGCGGTTATAAATTGGTTCTGATTGAAACAGTTATAAAGAACTGAAGAAATGTTATAACTCTTATGGATATAAGAAATAAAACGATATGGGTGAGAACAGTTATATCCACATAAGTTGTAACATTTGTTTCGTTCCCATAACTATTTCAAAACATACCGATATCATAACTGTTTTCAACCCATATTTATGATAGATGTGGTGCCCACCAACTCCTCCTACAACAGACAATGATGTCTACATTGATTACTCGCTGGGATTTTTGTATGAAAATACGCCAATGTCAGAGGCACAATTACCTCCTATCTATGTTAAGAAAGAACAAAAACGAGTTAGATCTGACACAGGAATGAATGAACGAGATGGTAAGAATATTCAATTAATTCCTTATTTCAAACTCTAATCTCACAGATTAATTATTGTTTTAATGTTAACGAAATCATTCATTTAGGACGACGTCCGGTCAAAATGCGACAGAAAGAAGAATCTGTATATGCGCCTCGTTCCTTGTTTGATAGACCAACGCCGGCTTTAATGAAAATCCGTAGAGATATGAAGCTTCACAAATATCGTGAAATCGTAAGACCTGTTATATCGATGCCTGGTGGTATAAAACCATCGCATATGACGAAAAATCCTGTCGAACAAGAGCAACACATATTGGAATGGATGATATACGAGGATTGGGCATTGCTTCAAGCGATTCAAATTTATCAAGGCTTACCTCTTAATTTAATGATATTGTCTCCTGGACAAACACCAAATTGGGATTTGGTTGCAGATATTGTTAATAATACCTCGCGAATATACAGATCACCTAAACAATGTAAAAATCGTTACGAATCCGTGATTGTTCCTAGAGAGGAAGGAAAGCTTCTTTACGATACAACACCAAAAAAACAAAAGAAACAAAAAGGCGTATATAAAATACCTCAAGTCTCTGAGGTATACTTTAGTTATTTCTTTGATGATATGAGAATAATGTGATTATTTAATCATTTTATTATATACTATATTATATATTATTTTTGTAGCAACAGAGTAAAACGAATAGGCCGATGCGAACATCTCAGTTATATAATCAAGATAAAAATCAGTCATTCGCGATGATGTGTTGCCAGAGATTCGAAATTATCAAGTCTATTTCTAACAAAAGAAATTCTACCGTTAAACCTTTATTAGTAAATCCTTTGATGAAGAATCCTACGAATGCAGCGGTCCTAGCTGAATGTCACATTCAATATGACAATCCACTAGCACCGATCGAAGTAGCTACGCGAAGAGCTGATAGAATAGCAAAAGAAAAACTAAAGCACGCTGTTAGTATCTTCAATGAATTTCTTTATTTTCGTATTTGATTACATATTATTATTGATATATTACGTATAGGTTTTAACTGCGGAACAACAACAGCAAGCGACAGCACGTTTGTTACAACAACAACAGCAGCAAGCACAGCAGCAACAACAAGCCCAACAACAGCAAGTCCAACAACAACAGGTACAACAGCAACAGCAAATTAAATTACAGCAGCAGCAACAATCGCAACAAACGATATCGAATACTACACCTCCTCAAGTGCATCAATTGGCACAAGTAGTGACGACCGTAGCAACGAATGTTCTTACATCTATGAAGACCGTAACTACAATGAGCAGTGTCACAACTTGTGCTACCACGATGGTCACTACAACGGTTAAAGCGCGACAAGGTGGTACATTAACTATGCAGGACGTGAGAGCAACTCCAACTGTTGTTAGTGTATCTAATCTTCAAGCAGCTCAGAGAATTGCAACGGCTGGTTTAGTATCAGCTGCTCAGAGTTCTACAGGTGTGACACCTAAGGGAATAGTCGGTGTTACCGTAGCCGCGGCATCTGGTAGCAAGACTTTGGCAGCTGCCCAATTTCAATATTATCGTCAGCAGCAACTTCTTTTAAGACAGCAACAGCTGAAAGTTATCCAGGCACAAGGAGTCGCCGGGCAGAAAGTCTCAGTAGCTGCTTCTGCTGCTGCAGCACAACAAAGAGCAACATTAATGAAACAGGGTATTGCTTCTGCGACTGCTGCTCAAGGTGGTGTTGGAAAGCAAACAGTAGCAAGGGCAGTATCAGAGACTGAAATGGCAGCTTTAATAAAGAGGCAAAATTTGCAGCAACAGGCTAATAAGACGGTTGCTCAAGTTCAAGTACCTACTCAATCTGAGCTTACACCAGCGCAAATATTTGCACAAACTGGATTACAAGTTCAGCCAGCGGGTACATCAGCTAGTGGTGCACCGGTAGCTACTTTGGTAAAAGCTGGTGTGAGAACTGCTACACCACAGCAAATTCGACAGTTGACACTGCATTCTCAAATTATAGCTCAGAGAAAGCTGCCTGCTCAAAAAGCACAATTAGCTCAAGTTACTACTAAAGGTGGGGTACAAACGCAATTGATTGTTCAACAGAAATCTTTACCGACTGCCATGACAATGCAACAGATTCAACAAGTAATGAAGCATGTACAGCCGTCTGCTATGCAACAATTTACACATGTAGGTTCATCGACTCGCGCGTTTCATAAATGTTCTTTATTTCCAATATCAAAATATTTGATTTTATTGTTTAATTGTAGGTTTCAACGGGACAAACTGTTTCGCAACCAGGTCAAGTAGTTTTAGCCAAATCTCCTTTGCAAACTCGAGTAATACCAGTAGCTCCAGCTTCCTTAAAGCAAACTATTCAAGTAGTAACTGCCGGTAACCCACAGTTAAGACAAACAGCGCCAGTTCAAGGAAAACCGATTGTTACCACAGCAAGAGGTAGTCCAGGTTCAAGTCAAGTTAGACTTCAAACTATTGCACATCAAGTTCACCCACAGCAAGTGCAACAGCAACAGCAGCAACAGACACAAGATGTTCAACCAAAATAATGTGGTTGGTAAGTATAAGTTTTTATATGTTCGTGCCGAAAAGTTGTAGGCGTTGTTCTCAATTGTTAGGCTCTATAATTGAGAAGAACTTAAGTTCGATTGTTTATTCAGAATTTACTATAATTCGTTAATCAAAAATACATTCCACACTAAATTACAAATACGTGAATTATGATTTTTTGATTTTCTTACATAATGATAAGTTAGTCTCGTAGAAACATCCCGCGATGATGATTATGTGAATATTTATTAATAAACAAAAATAGTACATAGATTTAATTGTAAATTGTACATTAATCAAATTAATCATTTGCTTGAATTATTTTATGAGCAGAGAGTAAAGTGAATTTCATCAAGTCTAAGTTCTACTTAATTTAGAAACATTGAGAAGGTGCATAAGTGTGTATAATATAAAAATATATATTTGCAACATGCAATGCATATATATTTATATTTATATATCACGTTTGTTAGGTTAATTATGTAGAAGATCAAGATTATTTCGAGGAATTATAATGATAGATTATTATATACGTAAGTGCTTCCGATTTCTATCATATAATATTGAAAAAACGTAATTTGTAAATTTGAATTGTTCACACTCTTGTGCAATGTTGTTGTTTG